CCAAAACATTATCTCAAAATTTTTCATGGGGACAGGAAGGAGCACTTTCCTGACAGAAAGGCTACAGCACTCTGACCAAATTTCAACTCCTTGCTCCAAAGCATGGACAGTACACAGTTAGTCAAAGAAAAGGTTGCCAGGGTTGTTTTAATATTGCAACACAATGTATTTTCTCCAGCATTTTCTTGGAAATGGCAAAACTGTTTTGGCTGAAACTTTCTGGAAAAAAAATAAAGTGAGCCCAATATCATCTAATGGTAAATTTTAGCCTAAAAGGTTAATAGTTGGCCAAGTTGCAAGTAAGCTAAGATGAAGGTATTGTAACAAGGAGGTTTGATAAATCTCAATAATAGTCAGTGCTGCCAATACCAGCAAAACGCAGTCCCTTATGAAGGCCAGGGAACTAATGATCACCAATAACACTGAGGAACTCCAGCCAAGACACCAAGTTGAGCAGTAATGGAAACAGACACGAATCCTTAAATTTGAAACAGGCCAGAGAGCTGGTCAGTTTTAAGCATCTTTCCTGTCCTCGCAATACTCTCTATATAAAGCTTTTTCTGCACTACTATATATACTTATATGTACACACATTAAGTTCTCAGCTGACACTTATTTCCCACAGATGCAGGTACTTCAGTCTTGATGCACCAATCACTAAACTGAGCTCAATTAGGAAAAAATCCAGATTCAGCGATCATGAGATGTGAGTTAATATGGCACAAACGTTGCTGGTGTTTGCATTTGTAATTATAGAGGATTATTCAATATCAATACATTAAAAGCTTTGCCTGAAGTCATATGGCACTAGGCTAACAAACAATGCCTAACTTACTTTATGAACTATTTGAAAAGGAACAAATAAAAAAAAAACCAGCATGCAAGTGTAAGGTATGGTGCATCAGGTCATTAAATCTGCATAGTTAAGAGTGAAATTACAATTAAGAAAAACATATGTTTTATTTTAAAAAGAAAACCACAAAATAGCTTTTTGGGAATACTAAACTGTGAAAACCTGGACTGAAGAATTTTATGGGTTACTGTGGTATAGGCTTCTCAGACAATCACACCTCAACTAAATTCCTCAACTCATGATGAATAAGACTATTAATACAAACTTAATTAGAACCAATGTAATATCATAAATCAAGAATTAATCATTAGTTCTTAGTAATTTGTTTTATGGAAATCATACGGAAGTCAATGTATAATTTAGGGTCTGAGCCATCAACTTCTGAGTATATGATTTCCCATCCCCTCCCCAAAGTCTAGACTTAAATTTCACAGCTTAGGGTCTGAGAGAATGACTGGATGGAAGTATATGCTTCTGTTATGCAAGAGGCCAGATTACTAGACCTAGTGGTCTTTTCTAGCCACTGGATCTATTCCATTAGAGATTTAACAGGGAGAGCACAATTTATAAGGCTATATCCCACGTGTGGAGTTCAAAGAGTGACCCACAGATGGCACAGAAGGTAAATGCCAGGAATACTGTGCCTGCTGCACACAAGCAATGCAACTAATCCCTGTTCAGTCAGGCACTGCTCCAGATTTATGTAACTACAACGCTTTTAGTCTGCAGCTGGCTTACTTTGGACTATCAGCAGAGAAGTCCACTTTCAGGGATCACTGTGCCATAAGCAGTGTTCCTGCATATGCACAGCACTCTTGGACAGCCAACTATTTATTGCATAGTATGACTCTACACTGGGTACAGCATCCATAACCCATGTGCAGCAAGACAGACTGTGCATCATACATACAGTAAGAGTGGTGATGCTGTGCAGATTCTCCCGTGTTTAAGCAGTAAATCCAGTTTGTTGGACCTGTGCATAGCTGGGTGCTGTTGCCTGGGCCTCACAGCCTCTTAGTCAAAAGTGGACCTGATGATACTGGAAGGCATAAAGTATAGTCCACAACTGGCCTTCATTTATAAATGCTAAATAGTAAAAAAACCTAGTCTGGGAAGGCTAGATATATGGCTGAACTTTGGTGTCCAAATACCTGTTTGAATGACTGTGATCAGCATTTATTTAGGAATGGCAGGCTCAAAACTCACCTAACTTCATAGACATAAATTTCCTTGGTAAAAATCCTGGAATAATTCAGGTAAAAAAGGAGGCTTGGGGTCATCTCATTCAACCCCCTTCTCAAACTAGGTCCAGCTTCAAATTTAGATGAGGTTGCTCTAGGTCCTGTTGTTTTTTAAAAATCTCCAAAGGTGAACATCCCACAGCCTCTGTGGAAACTGTTCACGGCTTAGCCACCCTCAAGAAAAGAATTTTTCCTATATCTATATGGGATGCCCTTGCTTCAATTTGTGACAGTTACTTCTTGTCCTATAGCTATGCACCTCTGAGCAGATTTTGGCTCCATCTTCTCTATAAACTCCATCAGGCAGTTGAACAGAACAGTTTGCTCCAGTTCCCCTGACCAAGCCCTCTCACTTCCAGACTAAGCAAACCTTGTTCCCTGAGCTTCTCCTTGTACGTCATGCTCCAAATCCTGGTGACCGTCGGCTGGAATTTCTCCAGATTGTCAATGACTTTCTCGTACTGTGGCCTGAAAATTGGGCACAGTACTCCAAATGTGGCCTCAGGACTGCTGAATAAAGGGGAATAATCACCCCCCAACCTGCTGCCTATACTCTTGCTAACACACTCAAATATGCAATTAGCCTTCACAGCTGAAAAGGCACATTGGCGAGCCGCATTCCCCCACTTTCTGCTGCCGTCTGGTGCACACACTATGAAGTACAAACAAGTCCTGAGCAGATAGGTATCTAGCTTAGACCCCAATTTTGACACAATTAGAGAAAACAAGAATTCATCTGCTTATCTTGCTCTGGGAGAGTTGATCTGGCAGACTTGTTTGATGCAACACAACATAAAACAGCTGGATAAAGAGAAATTCCCCTCCTTGTGTATACAGTTCCCTAGTGGTTAGATGACTCATGCACATGTGTTTTGGAGACTCAGGTTCATCTCTCTCATGTATCTCAGGGGTTTTTGACTTGTGCACCTTGAAAGGAAAGCACCTCACCTCTTGCCTGTCCCAGTCTAGGACCTTAACAGAGGGACAAGCATTACATAATTTGCCTTAAATGAGATCTTTGATGAAATAGTAAATGAAACAAAAGGCTCATGCTAGGTAATCTCTGATCCCTAGCCTCTATAGTTGCTCCCATTTTCGCACTCAAATGAAAATATAATTGAGCAGGGAGAAATCTCCACCAGAACTTGCTGGGAAGTAAGAGAGGTTACAAATCCCCCACTTCTCCTTGCTCTGGCTTGAAAGTTTAGAACATAAGTCTCCCATGTTTAAAGTGATTACACTTGTCATCAATTGAAGGATGCCATACCCAACCCTGACTTGGGACAGGGGTGGGAGGTGGCAAGTAAATAAAACCCTAAAAATCCTTTAGTTCTTAGGTAAAAAAGAGTGTGTGAAAGGGAGAACTCCTGTAGATGGTTCCAGGTTCTAAGACTTTAGCGGATACAGGTAATTCAATTTGAATTTGAAGATATATTAAATATCTACTTTGAAAAAAAAGTTATTATTTGAGAAAAGCAAAAAAGCAAAGTAAATTTTAGTTCTTTAAAAATTTTCACTCATCAAGTGTATAAGAAAAGCTGATCAATTAAGTGGGAAAACAGTTGCAAAATATTCCTGAATCTCCTAATTTTATTTACTTTTCTTTTTAAATTCTGACCAGAGTCCAAGACTAACTATGACTACAATGTGATCAATACAAGTGGGATTTGAGTTAAAGGCTCTGTTCAAAGAAACACAGAAAAAATATTTCATATATTCTGTTAACGCTTCAGTTCATCTGAGTGGAAAATTACCAATAAAAGTTTAAAGTATGCAAACAAAGAGGAACTAAGGGAAAGAACTGAAGTATGGATTAAAATACAGGAAGGGAAGGGCAGCAGAGAATAGTAGAAGGAAGCTTTTATCTCAAGTGTTTAACTTTGTGTAGATTACTCAGAAAATGTCCTGAAAGTTCAGCTGTGCACCAGTTCCTCCTATGGAACCTAATCCAAACTGATGAGGACAACAAGGGGCACATGCCCCTTGATGTTAGGTCCGACTCCAGTAATAATTATTTGATAGTGGCAGAGGAGGGCTCCCACACCCACTGAGCACTTGCAACCTCAGCTGAAGTCAGCAGGTGCTTGCAGAGGTGTTCTTAATCTAACCCAGTCCTCTCAGCTACCTGTAGGCAGAGAAGACTCCCTCCAAACTGTTTGCACCTCCATTCTTTATTTAGCCTGAAAAACATAGAATCATAGAATCATAGAATCATTAAGATTGGAAGAGACCTCCAAGATCATCGAGTCCAACCGTCAACCCAACACCACCATGCCCACTAAACCATGTCCCTAAGCGCCGCATCTACCCGTCTTTTAAATACTTCCAGGGATGGTGACTCAACCACTTCCCTGGGCAGCCTGTTCCAATGTTTAACTACTCTTTCAGTAAAGAAATTTTTCCTTACATCCAATCTAAACCTCCCCTGGTGCAACTTGAGGCCATTTCCTCTCGTCCTTTCGCCAGTTACTTGGGAGAAGAGACCGACACCCACCTCGCTACAACCTCCTTTCAGGTAGTTGTAGAGAGCAATGAGGTCTCCCCTCAGCCTCCTTTTCTCCAGGCTAAACAACCCCAGCTCCCTCAGCCGCTCCTCAGAAGACTTGTTCTCCAGACCCCTCACCAGCCTCGTTGCCCTTCTCTGGACACGTTCCAACATCTCAACATCCTTCTTGTAGTGAGGGGCCCAAAATTGAACACAGTATTCGAGGTGCAGTCTCACCAGTGCCGAGTACAGGGGCACGATCACTTCCCTGCTCCTGCTGGCCACACTATTTCTGATACAGGCCAGGATGCCATTGGCCTTCTTGGCCGCCTGGGCACACTGCCGGCTCATGTTCAGCTGGCTGTCAACCAACACCCCCAGGTCCTTTTCTGCCAGGCAAGTTGGGATTTCAGGAGACTGCTTATGGAGAATTCCTAAACAGATTGAGAGAGAACCCTAGGCTTATTGCATCCTGTCTGGTTGCTGGAGAGAAGCTCAACCAGGACAACACTCAGAGTGTCATTCACACAGTCTTTACCTCCATTTATGGCAATTGCATCATGCAGGAGGATGAGAGCTACCTTCTCCAGGTCCTCCGTTACTTGATTGAATTTGAACTCAAGGAAAGCGACAAACCTAGGCGGCTCTTGAGACGAGGCACCTGTGCATTCAGCATCTTATTCAAACTTTTCTCTGAAGGACTCTTTTCTGCAAAACTTTTTCTTACTGCAACTTTACATGAGCCAATCATGCAGCTTCTTGTTGAAGATGAAGACCACCTGGAAACTGATCCAAACAAGTTAATTGAGAGATTCTCCCCAGTACAACAGGAAAAGTTATTTGGAGAGAAAGGCACAGAAAAGTTCAAGCAAAGAGTCCAAGAGATGGTTGACTCCAATGAGGCCAAGCTGGTGACCTTGGTGAACAAATTCATTGGCTATCTCAAACAAAATACTTACTGTTTTCCTCACAGCTTGAGATGGATTGTGTCACAAATGTACAAAACTCTCTCATGTGTAGACAGGCTGGAGGTAGGGGAGGTCAGAGCAATGTGCACAGATCTTCTTCTAGCGTGTTTCATCTGTCCTGCGATTGTTAACCCAGAACAGTATGGGATAATTTCTGATGCTCCTATAAATGAGGTGGCAAGATTTAATCTGATGCAGGTATGATTCACTTTAAAGTAGTCTTAAAAAAAAAAGAAGTATGAGAAATGTTCTTGGCCTTTTTTTTTTTTTCCCCACTAGAACTGATGTTACTACAGTAAAGGTAAAGGTACTGTCCATCCTACCTGTAAGACAAATGCTAACAAAATATTTGTGTCATCACTGCTGAAAAGGCATGCTCTAAAGTTTATCTGTTTGCTTAAAATACTGACTTAAAAATTGATAGCATGTGTTCCTTTATCTCTTAGAAGAGTTGCAAATGTGCTTTATAAAAGCTATTATAAGGGATGGAAGCTAAAGTGTAAAAGTGACTATAAGATGAATTCTGGAATGTGTGTAAATAGATCTTGTGCTGTTCTTGCTAATATTAAATATTATGCCAGGTATTGCACAAAATAATGACATATTTTGCTGAAAAAACCTTGTCTGGCAGTAATGACCACTGTTTCTGCTGGGTAGCTATCTACTGTTTTATTGGACCTTACAGCCCTCATGACAGATTTTTGTCTTTGTGCAAATACTTGGG